GTAGTAGTAGTAGTAGTAGTAGTAGTAGTAGCAGTAGTAGTAGTAGTAGCCCACAGTTATTTGCTAATATTGTTTTTATTAAAGCTACATGCGTATAGCAATATCTTAAGATGAATGAAATACTAACATGACAACAATAAATAGTTTTTCGTAAAAACTTACTGACGTTTTTCGTGCGCAGTGCAGGTGTACAACGCAAAAACTAACCAACCACCTGCGCGTATAATTACATAGCAAAAAGTACACTTGCTACTGCTTCCACGTGTAATTACTTTACAACCCGTGCAGGCTCACTAATTGGAATAGTGACGGCAGTTTAAGACATCGGCGTAATCGCTGGTGAATGATTGATTAAATGTTCATGGTTTCACGATTCTGCGGAGCTACGATTTTCTCGACAACGCTTCACGATGACATTGTGTGACATTGTAAACGCTTGTATAAGTTTAGCACGCGCTACGTAATAAAACGTTCACACTCATAAATACACACACGCACACACACGCGCGCGCACGCACACAAACACACGCACACACGCACACACGCACACACGCACACACGCACCCCCGCACACACGCGCACACACACTCACACACACACACACATGCACACACACACACACGCACCCACGCACACACACGCACGCACGCACACACACACGTACACACGCACGCACGCACCCACGCACACACGTGCACACGCACCCCCGCACACACGCACACACACCCCGCTCCTTGCTACCACACACACGCACGCACGCACGCACGCACGCACGTACACACGCACGCACGCACCCACGCACGCACGTACGCATGCACGCACGCACGCACGCACGTACGCATGCACACACGCACACAAGCACGCACGTACGCACTCACGCCTGCGGTTGCGGCGCCATTTTGTCTATATGCTCACTGGACCTTACCTCGACCTCCGTGATGCGCTCCGAGATGCAGAAATTAATCTAATGAAATAATTACATTTCGCGTTTAATTATACATATATTCGAGCGCCATCGTCGATGTGCGAGACCGTATACGAACAGATGCAACGATGAGAAGCGGTGACAGCCTGGCTTACGCAGCGGTTGCGTGTGATGCGTGAGCACGATACTCACGACACAGCACGCTAGTCTACTCGCAGTCATCTGAGTGAGAGATTAGTCGCGGCTAAGTAACACGGCGCTAGAGCGGAGATGCCGCAATTCGTAATTAAATCGGAAACGGAAACATACACGAATGAGGGGCACGCATTTGCCATTTACAGCCAGCCGTGATTGCGTAATTAAATACGAAAAGAAAATGACTGTAATTAAATGTTACTGTTGTTTACCAGTGAAGGCCTATTTAAACGTAATAGCTTGAGGGATGCATAAGACGCGCAGATATTTATACGCACAGACATTACTACTTTATTCTACTACTTCAAGCTGAGTAAATGCATAGTAGTATATGACAAAATTACTCTATGTGTGTAGAGAGAGAAAGAGAGAAGAAAGGAGATAAAGAGAGAGAGAGTGAGAGAACGAGAGAGAGATAGAGAAATATAATATAATATAATATGTGAGTTGTGGTATGCGTACCCTTACTGTACAGGTCTACCATTTCTTACTAAACTGTAGGAGAGTATACTCACCTCCACAGCTATTGCGTCCGTATACGTATGAAGGCCTCTACGTACGCGCGGCCCTGCGCCATTCTAGCGCGCCTTCGTACCTATTTAATTATGGCTTAGAGTTAGACGTTAATGAAGAAATAATCATTGAGCCAGCTCTCGTTGGCTGCTGTTCTCCTTGCGACTGGTTGGCGTTTAATGAGGCCCGTAACGATGCAGAATTAAGACGGGAGACAGCGATGTGTGCAATTAACATGTTTGCGAATGCCTCTTATATGAGTTCGCGTTAATTGACTGAAGTCGGCGGCCACCTGCTCACGCCGTTAATGACCGCGCGCACGCACGCACGCACGCACGCACGCACGCGCGCGCGCACGCTCGCTCGCTCGTACATATGCATACACGCAGGCACGCACGCACGCGCGCACGCTCGCTCACATGCGCGCACGCACGCACGTACGCACGCACGCACACACGCACGCACGCACGCACGCACGCTCGCCCGCTCGCAATAGTGTGTCATAAGCTTAGCATTTTTGTTCCTATGTGCTCCCGTCCGATGTGCGTGCTTGCCGCATATGTGCGTGTGTGTATGCGTGCGTGTGTGTATGTGCGTGTGTGTATGCGCGCGCGTGTATGTGCGTGTGTGTATGCGCGTGTGTGTATGCGCGCGCGTGTACGCGCTCTCGAGGTGTCTTGATTGCACGGTTGCAAGTTGATATACGCGGTATGCATGTGTGCGTGTGTGCATAATGCGAATACACGCACATACACACACGCACGTACACGCGCACACACACACACGCACATATGCGGCAAGCACGCACATCGGACTAGAGCACATAGGAACAAAAATGCTAAGCTTATGGCATTCTAGCAGGACACCCGGCGTTGCCCGGGAAATAAAGCGCTCAGTTGGTGACCACTTGGTTGTACCCTCTCACTCTTGCTCCCGCGCTCTCTCCCGCACTCTCTATTCATCTATATATCTATCTATCCATCTATGTATGTATGTATGTATGTATGTATGTATGTATGTATGTATGTATGTATGTATGTATGTATGTATGTATGTATGTATGTATGTATGTATGTATGATGCTGCTGCTGCCACAGCTGCTGCTACTTCTACTACTGCTGCTGCTGCTGCTATTGCGACGATGACGTGCGAGCGACACAAAACGTCTGTCGCTCCGGGGTACGCTGGGCGGGGCGCGCACTCCCTCCGACACGGCGTGTAGCCATCGTTAGCGCGTAGACCCGTTACGCACGTCTGCGCGGAAGTGCACGCACGCACACACGCACGCACGGACGCACGCACGCACGCACGCACGCACGCACGCACGCACGCACGCACGCACGCACGCACGCACGTACGTTAGCAGGCGTGTGATGACGGTTACAGCGATTATATACGTGAGCAATGGTTATGTCGTCTTCTGCGATACCTGATGGGGATCTTTGCGCTTGCACTCGCTGGTTACTCGGCTGCCGGTTATAGCTACCGAGGGAAATCTAGCTCTAGACTTCACTCCGCCACATGCTGAGCGAACGGCTATAGTTCTAGAGCTAGGGCAAACCAGACATCGACCCACGCGTGTGAAACAGTAGCGGCGGTGGTGCGCGCAGGCTCGCGGTGCGTGGCGCACAGCTACTGGAGAGTTAGAGAGTTAGAGACTCATCAATGACGGCAGATGCGCGGAAGTAGGGCGGTGCAGCCGGCATACATACATCATACATCACACATCATACATACATGCATACATACATGCACGCACGCACGCACGCACGCACGCACGCACGCACGCACACACACACACACACACATACATACATACATTACACACACATACATACATCATACAGCATACATGACGACCACGTCACCGTGCCGACGGACCCAGTCGGTCGGTGCGCGCGACAGCGTCGTGTGCACGCATTCGCCGCCTGGTGTCACCCGCGCAACTCTCGCGATTTCTTACCCAGAGCCTTCATGTACTCGTCGAAATTCTCAGTCTTCGCCAGCTTCCATTTGCCGCAGAACTGTGCCATGTCTTCGCGTGAAATGTCGTGGACGATGGCGTGCACGCGTGCTCGTACAGACAGATAGATAGCTGGTGGGGTGGTGAGGTGGGCAGCTAAATGTTAGAACGCGCGAGCAGATGCTGTCACTCGAGTGTCAGCATCGAACGTTGAGCGAAGGCACACGCGCTGTCTGCTGCTCCTGCTGCTACTGCTGCTGTTGCGAGCGAGTAAAACAAGAGAGCATATGCCGCGCACTGGTGCCGGCCGACAGCTAGCGACCCTGGCGGATCGGGGTTAAACGCCGACGGCGTCGATAGATGGCGTGGGCGGTCCGCTGATGTTTCAATCAGGAGTGCATGAATGGAGGAGGGAGATTCAGAATGTGAAGAGAGTACATGGGTAAAGACATCCAATTATAAACGCCGGCTTTGATCTACTGATCTCTTTCTTTATTTCTCTCTCTGTCTCTCTCTCTCTCTCTCTCTCTCTCTCTCTCTCTCTCTCTCTCTCTCTATATATATATATATCCTGTAATTAATGTATCTCAATGAGTTTCCGGGAACTAGTTCTAATGAATGAGTGTGATTAGAAATGTAGACAATTAAGGGTGTTCCATTTTGTACTAATCTGGCAGTGTAAAAACTTTCACGTCTGACACTCATATTTGTATGGAGAGACAATCAGACCATTTCAAGGATTGATTGTTACATTTGTGACACTACATTACATTTGTGACACTACATTACATTTGTGACACTACATTACATTTGTGACACTACATTACATTTGTGACACTACATTACATTTGTGACACTACATACGTGTCGCTAACCCACAATATGAGTGTGGTTTGTTCGTTACTCGTCTGGCGTCTGTTGATAGTTCGCTTTAAAGTATGCAGAAATTTCTCATCCGAAACTGACTTTGTGCTAAGTAAGGCATGTGTGTATCCATCCAGTAAAATAATAATATGGCTATGTATACTGCACTGTGAATGAATGTGTGTTGCATAATGCTGCGAAGCAATCGATAATGAGGATCGACAAAACTTTTCATTGTTGCTAATTTTGTTATTATCTAACCACCCGGTATTTGGAATTCGAAATAGGGTTACAAAATTGTATACATTTGAGCGGAACTTCCAATCCCCCTGGGGGGGGCGAACCCACCGAACCCTCCCTGGCTACGCCCCTGGTATTAGTTATATATAAATATCAGTGTTTCAATCGAGTTATCAAATTTTTAGCAGGTAAAAAATATACTATTTCACAGTTACTGTTTACGAAAATCGTATTTTCGACGATTTTTTCTGTTGAATTCCATTCCAGCGAAAGACTTGTCTGGTATTTCTCGGTTCCCACATATTTAAACTAGTCCGATCACACGTCCAGGAAATAACGGCCAACGTCATCAATCAATGGCCATGGCACGGAAACAATGTAGATATTCCTCGCCTGCTAAATGCTGTAGACTGGTACCGGTCGCGCGCAGTTTCACCCTACACTAATACGCTACTTGTAGCCGATAGAGCTGCCTCGGATCCCTCATCCGGTCTAAAACCCACGAGAATCTGTATTAATATTATAGATAGGTGGCGCAACAAAGCCAAGTTGCAATGGCAACAGGCTACAGGTACCACGGTCGGAAATCATTTCCCCATAGGCGGCCATACTTACGAAAATAGTCATAATCAGCAAAAGTTTTTTTGAGAAATCACAATGCCATCTTCTAAATCTACTCGCAACTGACACCATATTAATATGTTGTTAACTCAAAAATTCGTCGATAATTTGTGCTGTTGTAACAAGCTTTTGCCGGCACGCACTTCGAAATGGGCCACTTTGCAAAATGTAATTTTACTAGCCGAAAAAGTAGGCTTCCTTCGAAAATTCTCGCGGCCGTCCCAGCAACGCACCTCGGACGAGCCGCTTATACTGTCGATTCAACAGAGATTCTAGTTTCTGAACTTAACAAACGCAAAGAGTTCTAAGCATTTCTAATAAGAAATGACAAATTCAAGCGCACGCTTGACTTCACAGCATACACATTGACATTCACAGCATACACTGAAATACGATCTCATTCTTGCTAATTTCCCACAGGTTTTGTCTATATTCAGGAATCAGGCCGCATACAGGAGATAATTTGCATATTTTGTCACGTGGTTATTGTTATAAACAATCAGATGTAATCGCGGTGGAGAAGGAGGGAGAAGGCTGGTGGAGAAAGGAGGAGGGGGAGAAGGGAAAGGTGGTGAGGAGGGGGAGAAGCTGTGGAGAAGAAGAGGGGAGAAGCTGGTGGAGGAGGTGGTGGAGAAGGAGGAGGGTGGAGAAGGTGGCAGGGAGGTGGCCTCTTTCCCTGGCACACCTTCTCCCTTCTCCACCACTTCACACCCCCTTCTCCACCACCTCCTCCTTCTCCACCAGCTTCTTCCCTCTTCCCTTCTTCATTCTCCACAGCTTCTCCCACCTCCTCCTTTCCACCAACTTCCCCCCTCTCCTTCTCTCACCAACCTTTTCCCTTCTCCCTTCCTCCTTCTCCACAGCTTCTCCCTCCTTCTCCACTAGCTTCTCCCCCTCCTCCACCACCTTCTCCCTCCGCTTTCCCCTCCTCCTTCTCCACCAGCTTCTCCCTCCTCTTTCTCCACCATCTTCTCCTTCTCCCTTCCTCCTTCTGCACCAGCTTCTCCCTCCTCCTTCTCCACCACCTTCTCCCTTCTCCCTGCTCCTCCCTTCACCATCTTCTTCACAGCTGGAAGTGACGTCACGAACCGCGATTACAACTGATTGGTACTGACATAGAACGCACGTGATAAACATAGGCAAATTATCTCTGTACCGGCTTGATAATATAGACAAACCCATTTCCTCACCGTAATACATACAAACTATGGAAAGCCATCGCCTTCAAAAATCATTTTTAAACATTTCAAATACACAATTTTAATCAATTTAAAACAATATTAAAATCATTCAAATTAATTAATAAAAATACATTACTTATATTGTAGAGAAATTAAGTTTTTCTGTTGATGGTAGGAGCACTTTTCCCAGTAATGACAATATCAGAATCCAAGCGTCTCCTGACTCTCCTCGCCATGTAACGTACGCCCACGGATAGCTACTCAACACAAGTAACGTGGCACGTAATCCACGCCAGAGGGCGCCAGAGTATAACTAGACGTAGAGACTAAATCCGACGGCTTATCAAGTTGTGCGATATTTATTCTCTATGGAATAGAATTCTCTTGCAGATTAGCTTACCATGATAAGCGCAGGCGTATGTGTGCGCCATGGTAGAGGCATCGGCGCATCCTTGATCCCAGCTAGAAGTCTATCTATATCGTGTCTAATCGGCAATTAGCTTGCCACTCCAGATGTGTCTAACCCCTACACAAGAGCTTCGAAGTGAAAAGCAGTGTGCCATCAGTTGCACCCGACTAGAGTGCCAGAATATAAAACCTGTAGAGTGCACAATCGTGGCATTGCGCATGCGAAAATGAAGCCTTATAGGTTTCTAGAAATCATAAATGGGGCCCCACTGGTTCGTGATACAATGCTACCGCTGTATTTGGCCATACAGTGAGAGACCTATTTGTGTTAATGCGAATGAATTTCGGGAAGGCATATTGTTGGTAGTTAGAGTAATAGTCTCGGTTCACAAGGGAAAAGTTTCCGCATGTGATTTGCTTTTAATGTCTAATTGTTTTATCATGCATAGAGTCCTTGCTATTTCCAGACTGTCGATCTTTTACATCAATTCATGGCAGTACTCCTTGCAGCAATTTTACACGTTGACACGTAATTTGTGTTTTTAGTAGGTAAATAACAGTTTGACAGAATAACTTTCCTTAGTCCTAAGTATGCTTCTCCACGCTTGCAGCACATGAATGTTATTTTACTGTTTATTACAATGCTAAGATACATGCAACAGTAGCCTTCCGCTAATTGCGCACTTATTTCGCTTTGGAAAAGACCTTTTCCTGATTTTTTGTGTGTAGTAATTTTCGGCAGAGGTGCACAAATTCGTGTTATACATGTAAGGTGAATGCCTCATGGACATCTAGAAGACATGAAAGTGAGATGGCCTTGTCGTGTAATGTGCCATTCCGTCAAATGACATAGCAATGGTGACCGTCCGTTGTTTTTGTGTTTGAAACGGGATCCTCCAACTCGCTGAAATGCGCGTGATTAGCTGGAAAAAGTTTCAGGCAGAGTCTGGACCTGAAATCTGTGGTTATTTTGTTGTTGTTTTCACCTTTATTGTGATGGAATAAATTGTATCTTGTGTATTTTTAATTAATTAATGCTTAAAGCATATCGAGGCCTGCTGCCTATGGACGCCCTCTACTGTTGTACAATCTGTTGTACAATTTTGTTAAACTGTTGTACAAAGTTGTACAATACTGTTGTACAGAATCTGTGGTTATTTTGTTGTTGTTTTCACCTTTATTGTGATGAATAAATTGTATCTTGTGTATTTTAATTAATTAATGCTTAAGGCATATCGAGCTGCTGCCGCCTGTCTATGGACGCCCTCTACTGTTGTAACAACAGCCTTAGGAAGCGCTGCATGCTCCCTATTGCCATATAATGGTGGTGTCCAACAGTGAATATATTATGCTCAAATTTTCGGACGGCGCATTACAAATATAAAATCTTTGTGACAACACCGAGGTTGAATAATTACCATTAAACTCACATTAGCTGTGGGCTTGTATCAAATGACCTATCTTCGTCAGATCTCAAGCGGCTTAACAGATATTCTAAGGCTTCGAATGTGCTGACATCTCATATCATAACCGGCTTTATCGAATTGTTCCATCTCTATTAGGAGTAATCTAGGAGTAATCTATAGGAATAAGGCTAGGATAACTCTCCTAAACTAAACTCCTAGCATGGCTTTAAATTGAGTTTACACCGCGTAACATATAAAGCCTCCCGCGGTTTTGAGTAAATAAATGAATAAACGGCGATCGTTCTCTTGTTTCTATGATAAGTTAACATTGTAACTTAGCAAGCTTAATTTCAATAACAGAATCATACAGTTTTACGTTAATAAATATATATATATATATATAATATAATATTATTATATATAATATTATATATATATATATTGTATCTATATATAATTATATATACATATATATTACATATATACAACTATATTATAGTGTTGGTCTATATTGTAATTTATATTCAACACTT